TACCTCTGAAACAAATAATACATTGTATGTTAAAAAAAAAAAAGAAGAAGAAGAAGAAGATGATAGTAGGAAGGGAAAAATGAAGGGGGGAAAATCGGAGGGGGAGACGAACCATGAGAGACTATGGACTCTGAGAAACAAACTGAGGGGTTTAGAGGGGAGGGGCGTGGAGGGATGGGTTAGCCCAGTGATGGGTATTAAGGAGGGCACATATTGAATGGAGCACTGGGTGTTATACACAAACAATGAATCATGGGACACTACATCAAAAACTAATGATGTAATGTATGATGATTAACATAACATAATAAAAAAAATTTTTTTTAATTCCAGAATAACCTAATTATCCACTAATTGAGATTGGTAAATAACTATAGTACTTATAATGGAATACTATAAAGCTATTACAAAGAATGAGACATATCTTTACACAGTGGCATGCATTAAGTAAGAAAGCAAGTTGCAACCATGTGAATAGGGTACAGGATTTCTTTTTGGGGTGATGAAAATGCTGTACAGTTAGATAGTGGTGATGGTTGCACAACACTGTGAATGTCCTAAAAACCACTAAATTGTACAATTTAAAATGGTTAATGGGGTGCTTGGATGGCTCGGTTGGTTGAGTGTCAGACTCTTGGTCGTGACTCAGGTCACATTCTCAGGGTCATAGGATCCAGTTCCACACCAGGCTCCATATTCAGCAGGGAGTCTGCTTGAGGTTCTCTCTCTCCTCTCCCTCTGCCCCTCCCCCCCAGCATAGGATCATGCTCTCTCTTTAAAATAAAATCTTTAAAATAAATAATAAAATGGTTAAAATGGTCAGTTTTAGGTTATGTGAATTTTACCTCAATTTTTTAAAAGAAGTCTGAATAACATGATCCCATTCTTTGTGGGGAAAACAATATCTATTAGTGTGTGCACAGAAGAAAATCTGGAGAGAGATATACCAAATAATTGATAGTGATTATTTCTGAGAGCAATAAATATGGTACACTGTTGTTTTTTTTTTTAGGTAAACTCTACGCCCAATGTGGGGCTCAAACTCACAACCCCAAGATCAAGAATCACATGCTCTACCAACTGAGCCAGCCAGGCACCCCAGATAATGGTATATATTCATATCCATGTTGCATAGGCCTCTAACGTTTGAATTTTTAGTAAAAGAGCATTTATAACTTTCATATTCAGAAAAAAATATACTAAATCACTTGAAAAGTATATCCTTTTCTAGAGAACAAATGTCTGAGAACAAATAATTTTAAAAATTCCTTTCATCAAAGATATTTCAAAATATCTATTTCCATGATGATGGGCTTACGACATGCTACTCCAAAATATGGCAAGCTGGCATTTTAAGTATCTTAAGCAGAAGGAATTTTTAAATAACAGCAAAAGCAAGAAGGTCACTCTGACCTCTGCCCCCTCACCCTTCTTCCCTTGAAACAGGTCATAAAACTCCCTTGTGAAAGGAGCCCTCCTTCTATCAAGAGGAAAGAAGACAGTTTGATCACCAGAGACAGGAAATTCAGGGCCAAGAAGGATGTATGAACAAACCTTGTTAAACTAACCCTTATCTTTCTAGTTCCTACTTCACCACTTACTACCCCTAACCCAAACTTCTTTGTCTTATCAGTTCTTCACGAATTTATTTTTTCTTTGTCTAACAAGTATAAAAACTTCCTGCTCTGGTCACTTTTTGGGGTCTTTTTCTCTGCTCTTGTAAAGGCTCCCATGTACATGTAAAAATTTAATAAAATTTGTATGCTTTTATCCTGTTAACATGTCCTTATCAGCTTAATTTTCAGACCCAGCAGGGACCTTAAGAGGGTGGAGAAAAATTTTTTTCCTTCCCTATAGAACTATATTACTTCAGAATTGTGAGATTGTAGAGATTGCTTTTCTTGCATCGCCTAATTCAACAAAGAAAAAGAACATGTACAAACCCCTTGCTCAGGATAGTTAGATGCTACGATCGATCCTTCATTAGGACTGAAATGTAAACACTCATTTATCTAGAAGGAATTGGGTACCAAAGTCTATGTACCCTGAATTATGCTTCTGTTTCCAAACCAAAGCATCTGCTGACCTTCAGACGATGAAAGGAAATAGAAGATTCAGGGTCAGAAGATTTGGGATTCTGGTTTCAGTTCAGCCGCTAATTTGCTGTGTGAATAAAGGCGAATGCTTTAACCGCGTTAGAACTTCATTTCCTCATCTCTAAAAATGGGGAGAGAGCACTAAATACTTAGAGTGGTAAAAAAAATTTTTTAAGATTTTATTTATTTATTTGAAGGAGAAAGAGAGCACAAGCAGGGGAGGGGCAGAGGGAGAGGGAGAAGCAGGCTTCCTGCTGAGCAGGGAGCCTGATGTGGGGCTCGATCCCAGGACCCCGGGATCATGACCAGAGCTGAAGGCAGACAGATGCTTAACCGACTGAGCCACCCAGGTGCCCCTAGAGTGGTAAAATGATGTGAGTATGTGAGAAATCAAGAAGCCAAAAACAAACACTACACTCAGAAAATTCCATTTAGGGCAATGCCTATTATTTTATATAATCTTTTTTTTTTTTTCACGTTAACATTCTTAGTTTATTGATCCTCTCATGAAAAATCTGCACAACCAGATAAAGCCACTGCAGCATCTTTACTCCTTCTGTTGTCCAATCTCCAGCTCACTTTTTGCCAGCACCAACATTGGCTTTTGCAGTCCCCCTGACTTTCTTCATTCTGTTCTTGCGTTCCTTTCGCTGTTTTCTTGATGTCTTTTTCTTCTCATACAGGCCATGTCTTGCAAGTCTGTGTTTGGGTTCATTTTTCTTTGCATAATCCAAGGAATCATATATCATGCCAAAGCCGGTTGTCTTGCCACCACCAAAATGGGTTCTGAATCCAAACACAGATATGACATCTGGTGTGGTCTTGTACATTTTGGCTAGTTTTTCCCGAATTTCTGTCTTAGGTACTGTTGCCTTTCCGGGGTGAAGAACATCAATGACCATCTGTTTCCGCTGAAGTAGTCGGTTAGTCATGAACTTCCTGGTCCGGATAGTTACTGTGTTGTTCATGATGGCGGCTATTTTATATAATCTTAGGAGAGTTTCTTAAGGCAATTAAATGCAGAGCTATGGCCAAAATATTCACTTGGGAGGATGGCCAACAGACTGGGTGCTTACCTGACATTTTAAAAGCCTGGAAATGAGGCATCTATCAGAGCATTCCTGAGTACCATGAAGTCCATCTCTAAAGAAATATTTGAGCATTCCAGGCTGCCTGGGTGGCTCAGTCGTTAAGCATCTGCCCTCCACGAGAGTCATGATCCCACAGACCTGGGATTGAGCCCTGCATCAGGCTCCCTGCTCAGCGGGGAGTCTGCTTCTCCCTCTCCCACTCCCCCTGCTGTGTTCCCTCTCTCACTGTGTCTCTCTGTCAAATAAATAAAGTATTTAATAAGAGAAAGAAATATTTGAGCATTCCAAGAAGATGAGAAGTTCACTCAGCTAAGCTAATGTTTCTTCCAGTTCTAAAGAGATGTGATTTTTGCAGACAATAGAAAAAAAAAAATGTATTCCTTGCTGCCCCCTTGTGACTTTTAGGGAAACTGTTCCTTGGTTTATTAAATTCATTTTTTAATTCAGCAAATATTTATTATTGTTTATAGTACGCCGGGCACTCTACTGGTGATGAGAACACACAAATGAGGCACGATGCCTACCCTTAAGGAACTCACAGACTAATAAAGGCTAGCAATGGGGGTGCCTGGTGGCTCACATCCGACTTTTGATTTCAGCTCAGGTCACGATTTCAGGGTCGTGAGATTGAGCTCTGCTTCCAACTCCCCACTGGGTATGGAGCCTGCTTAAAATTCTCTCTCTCCTTCTCCATCTGTCCCTCTCCCCCCTTGCCCCCACATGCACTCTTTCTCTCTCTCAATAAAATAAAATAAAATAAAATAAATAAAAGCTAGCAATGGCTAAACATCTACAATGCAGTGTGATAGTGGCAAGTTCAAGGACTTACCTGGACCACCTAAATCAGCCAGTTTGTTCTTGGGAGGTAGGGTGAAATACTCCAGGAAGTCTGCACAAGGAGGGATGGGAGATGTTAACTGTTTCTTTTTTTCTTTTTTTTTTTTTTTTAAAGATTTTATTTATTTATTTGAGAGAATGAGAGAGAGCAAGCACATGAGAGGGGGGAGGGTCAGAGGGAGAAGCAGACCCCCCGCCAAGCAGGGAGCCCGACGCGGGACTCGATCCCGGGACTCCAGGATCATGACCTGAGCCGAAGGCAGTCGCTTAACCAACTGAGCCACCCAGGCGCCCCGATGTTAGCTGTTTCAAAAAGACATTTAGGTAGTAGAATTGATGAGATTCCCTGATATGGTGATATAGAGATAGGGTGATAGGGATCAGGAATCTGGTCTAGGAGAACAACAAAGACTATGTCCGTATGGCCAAAGCTAGACTGAATAACACACGGAAATACAAGAGACTTTAAAATGGTCAGTCTTGTCAGTTCTTTCAGCATAGTCTGTGAGCTATATCCTATCAGTGTCTTAGCCATATTTCATATTTATCTGACTTCTAATCTCAGCTATTATCACTTAGTACTTTTAAGGATTTTATTTGGGCATAGTTATCATCATTTTATGTTTGATAACTGTAGACAAAGACCAGGGAATATTCAAACCATAATAAGTCAAACACCAGTGTCATGGAAGAATTTTTAACAATAAATAAAAGCAAAAGTGGTGTCAGGAAACAAGTTAAAAAAAATTTCAACTTCTCATTGTTGTTCTCATCTCCAGGGTCAGCTACACGACCTAGCAAATGATTGGTTGGTTGAAATAATAAATTTGAATGAATGACTAAAGAGTGAATGCATTTGAATGATTGAATGGTTCTGGAACCAGCCTGTAAAGAAAGGGTAAGATGTGGATTACTAGAAAGGATGGAGAAGAATATCTGAGAAAGGGAGAGCCACATAGAAGCTAAGGCCATCGAACGAGAAGGAAGGAGAGAAAATGGCGTCTACGGATTACAGTACCTACAGCCAAGCGGCAGCCCAGCAGGGCTACAATGCATACACCGCCCAACCCACTCAAGGATATGCACAGACCACCCAGGCACATGGGCAGCAAAGTTACGGAACCTATGGACAGCCCACTGATGTCAGCCATACCCAGGCTCAGACCACTGTGACCTATGGGCAGACCGCCTATGCAACTTCTTATGGACAGCCTCCCGCTGGTTATACTGCTCCAACTGCCCCCCAGGCATACAGCCAGCCTGTCCAGGGGGACGGCACTGGTGCTCACGATACCACCACTGCTATGGTCACTACCACCCAGGCCTCCTATGCAGCTCAGTCTGCTTATGGCACTCAGCCTGCTTACCCAGCCTATGGGCAGCAGCCGGCAGCCACCGCACCTGCAAGACCGCAGGATGGTAACAGACCCGCTGAGACTAGTCAACCTCCATCTAGCACAGGGGGTTACAACCAGCCCAGCCTAGGATATGGACAGAGTAACTACAGGTATCCCCAAGTACCTGGGACCTACCCCATGCAGCCAGTCACAGCACCACCATCTTATCCTCCTACCAGCTACTCCTCTACACAGCCGACTAGTTAGGATCAGAGCAGTTCCTCTCAGCAGAACACCTATGGGCAGCCGAGCAGCTATGGACAGCAGAGTAGCTATGGTCAACAAAGCAGCTATGGGCAGCAGCCGCCCACTAGTTATCCCCCCCAAACTGGATCCTACAGCCAGGCTCCAAGTCAATATAGCCAACAGAGCAGCAGCTACGGGCAGCAGAGTTCATTCCGACAGGACCACCCCAGGAGCATGGGTGTTTATGGGCAGGGGTCTGGAGGATTTTCCAGACCAGGAGAGAACCGGAGCATGAGTGGCCCTGATAACCGGGGCAGGGGAAGAGGGGGATTTGATCGTGGAGGCATGAGCAGAGGTGGGCGGGGAGGAGGACGCGGTGGAATGGGCGCTGGAGAGCGAGGTGGCTTCAGTAAGCCTGGTGGACCCATGGACGAAGGACCAGATCTTGATCTAGGCCCACCTGTAGATCCAGATGAAGACTCTGACAACAGTGCAATTTATGTGCAAGGCTTAAATGACAATGTGACTCTAGATGATCTGGCAGACTTCTTTAAGCAGTGTGGAGTTGTTAAGATGAACAAGAGAACCGGACAACCCATGATCCATATCTACTTGGACAAGGAAACAGGAAAGCCCAAAGGTGATGCTACAGTGTCCTATGAAGACCCACCAACTGCCAAGGCTGCTGTGGAGTGGTTTGACGGGAAAGATTTTCAAGGGAGCAAACTTAAGGTTTCTCTTGCTCGGAAGAAGCCTCCGATGAACAGCATGCGGGGTGGTATGCCTCCCCATGAGGGCAGAGGGATGCTGCCACCACTTCGTGGAGGTCCAGGGGGCCCAGGAGGTCCTGGAGGCCCCATGGGTCGTATGGGAGGCCGTGGAGGAGACAGAGGTGGCTTTCCCCCAAGAGGGCCTCGGGGTTCCCGACGGAACCCATCCGGAGGAGGAAATGTCCAGCACCGAGCTGGAGACTGGCAGTGCCCCAATCCGGGGTGTGGAAACCAGAACTTCGCCTGGAGAACAGAATGCAACCAGTGTAAGGCCCCGAAGCCCGAAGGCTTCCTTCCACCACCCTTTCCACCCCCGGGTGGTGAGCGTGGCAGAGGTGGCCCTGGTGGCATGCGGGGCGGAAGAGGCGGCCTCATGGACCGCGGTGGTCCCGGTGGGATGTTCAGAGGTGGCCGTGGTGGAGACAGAGGGGGCTTCTGTGGTGGCCGGGGCATGGACCGAGGTGGCTTTGGTGGAGGAAGACGGGGCGGCCCTGGTGGGCCCCCTGGACCTTTGATGGAACAGATGGGAGGAAGAAGAGGCGGGCGCGGAGGACCTGGAAAAATGGATGAAGGCGAGCACCGTCAGGAACGCAGAGACCCCGCAGAGCTGCATTGACTACCAGATTTATTTTTTAAACCAGAAAATGTTTTAAATTTATAATTCCATATTTATAATGTTGGCCACAACATTATGATTATTCCTTGTCTGTACTTTAGTATTTTTCACCATTTGTGAAGAAACATTAAAACAAGTTAAATGGTAGTGTGCCGAGTTTTTTTTTCCTTCTTTTAAAGATGGTTGTTTAACTAAGACTAAACAATGGGAACCCCTTGTGAGCATGCTCAGTATCATTGTGGAGAACCAAGAGGGCCTCCAACTGTAACAATGTTCATGGTTGTGATTTTTTTTTTAAATAAAATTCCAAATGTTTATAAACAGTCAAAAAAAAAAAAAAAAAGAAGAAGAAGAAGCAGCAGCAGCAGCTAAGGCCATCTACCAAAGGAAACATAATACCCAGTACATGGATTGTTATTAAGTAGTGCTAATTGAGGGGGCTACTGGAGGGCACAAGTATCCAAATATAGACAGAATCTGACTCGGGTCTTTTCTCTCAGCCTCCAGGGATTATTTCCTGCACATCTATTCTTTGGACTATGAAGAGATCAAAGCTGAGTGGGGGGTGAAAGCTTAGGGCCCAGAAGATCTCCCTCCACCACTTCCTCCCAAAATGTTGGCCTGCGCAACTCACAGCTTCAACCGCTTCTTTTCAAGACCTAGATATAAATCTTGTTCAATAAAAACAATTAGCAGAAGAGAGAACATTCAACAGTTGTAATTACCTAAATGTCCCACCATTAACCATTTGAAGGACTAAATCCCCTACATTGATTGTTTTAATGAATGATAATTAAAACCAAATAACCTCTAGGCTCATTTGATTGCTACAGTGACAAAACCGAACCTCTTGGCATTATATTGCAAGGCCCTGAATTGAGGCAGGCAAAGCACAATAGATAAAGTACAAGGAGAATCAGGTGGTGAGTGGAAAGGTACTGGTGCACACTGGAGTAGAAAGAAGGCCATGGCTATCCTAGCAGACACATTTCAGCGACCAGTTGATGGGAGATCTGCAGCACCGCTCCCCAGTCAGGGAAAGTCTTCCTGGCTTGGTTTTTTTTGTTGTTGTTTTTTTTTTTTAAGATTTTATTTATTTATTTGAGAGAGAGAGAATGAGAGAGAGCACATGAGAGGGGGGAGGGTCAGAGGGAGAAGCAGACTCCCTGCCGAGCAGGGAGCCCGATGCGGGACTCGATCCAGGGACTCGATCCAGGGACTCCGGGATGATGACCTGAGCCGAAGGCAGTCGCTTAACCAACTGAGCCACCCAGGCGCCCAATTTTTGTTTTTAATTTAAATTCAAGTTAGTTACATATAGTGTATTATTAATTTCAGGGTTGAATTTAGTGATTCATCAGTCTTATATAATACCCAGTGCTCATTACATCACGTGCCCTCCTTAATGACCATTGCCCAGTTACCCCATCCCCCCCACCTCCCCTCCAGCAACCCTGTTTGTTTTCTATGATTAATAGTCCCTTATGGTTTGCCTCTCTCTGTTTTTAACCTATTTTATTTTTCCTTCCCTTCCCCTGTGTTCATGTTTCGTTTCTTAAATTCCATACATGAGTGAAATCATATGGTATTTGTCTTTCTCTGGCTGACTTATTTCACTTAGCATAATACCCTCTAGTTCCATCCACGTTGTTGTAAATGGCAAGATTTCATTCTTTTTGATGGCTCAGTAATATTCCTGTGTGTGTGTGTGTGTGTGTGTGTGTGTGTGTGTGTGTGATCTTTAACCATTCATCCCTCAATGGACATCTGAGCTTTTTCCATATTTTGGCTATTGTTGACATTGCTGCTATAAACACGGGTGCATGTGCCCCTTAGAATCAGCATTTTTGTATCCTTTGGATAAATGCCTAGTAGTACAATTGCTGGGTCGTAGGGTAGCTCTATTTTTAACTTTTTGAGGAACCTCCATACCGTTCTCCAGAGTGGCTGCACCAGTTTGCATTCCCACCAACAGTGTAAGAGGGTTCCCCTTTCTCTGCATCGTCGCCAACATCTGTTGTTTCCTGAGTTTTTAATTTCAGCTGTTCTGACAGGTGTGAGGTGGCATCTTGAATAGGTTAAGGAAGAGACTGTGTCATACTCATCATCAGACCCTAGTACAGCACCCAGTCAGTTCACAAAAATAATTTTTTTGAACCGAACTTAATATAAAGTAATTTAGATTAAAACCTAGGATAGGCCTAACAATATGAATGTACAAATCATGCACTAATGAATCTTTCCAAAGCAACATATTTGTTGACATTTTTAAATACTTAAAATGGCAGGTGAGCAGTCTTCATAATTCGTTGCTCTGTGGCATGTGTGAATACTGTGTTCTAAGCTTTTCTTCTGCAGGACAACCTCTTCTAGGTTGAAGCCAGAGCCAGAAAGTTCAGGTAGTTCAGCACTTTTTATAACCACTCAGTAAATCAACATTTATAAAGCACTTAACTGGGGTTCCTGGGTGGCTCAGTCAGTTAGGCTTCTGCATTCACCTCAGGTCATGATCCCAAGGCACTGGGATCAAACCCCAAGGCAGGCTCCCTGCTCAGCAGGGAGTCTGCTTCTCTCTCCTTCTGCCCCTCCTCCTGCTTGTGCTCTCTCGCAAATAAGAATCTTTAAAAATTTTTAAAAACAAAAAATATTTATATAAAGCACTTAACTGTGCATGCAACACACTGTTCCAAGCACTGGGATTATAATGGAGAGTCAGCTGGGGTTGAAAAAGGAATTTAACTACCTCCATTTTGACCTTAGTCTGTACTTTCTGATTAAATTCTTCTTTCCAGCTTGTCTCATAACTCAGGCAAAAGACCCGGGGAGCAAAGCTGTGATGGGAACATAATTACCCCTCAAGCAATAACGACTACCCTGAGCCAGCAAGACCCCTCTTGATTGTCCCCAAGACAATGACCTTTACTGCCCATCGCGTGTACCCACTGACCATTGTCCCGCATTTTCTTTATATAAACCTAGACATATTTTCAACACTTTGGAGACAGTCTTTAAGACATCCACCCACTGTCTCTGGGTGTTGGCCTTACTGAAATAAACTCCTTTCTTGTCTCCCCACCACTCCTGTCTCTGCCTTTGGATGTTGTCAGCAGCCGGTGGCCAAACCTGGTCTGCTTGGGACCCCCGGAGCCGGGTGCTCTTGTGCCCTGGTGCCCTGGTTACAGGATCAGCTAGAAGTATAGGAAGACTCTTTCCCAATGAAATACAAATTACCCCCAAATCGCCTATCTGCTTGGAATTTTTACTAAGAACCTCCTATCAAAGAAAACTTGATCAAGTACATGGGTTGATTATTAATTCATGCTAATTTAGGGGACTACTTGAGGGTGTAAGTATCCAAATATAGACAGAAAGCAATGTATTTTAATATAGTGCAATTTTCATAGTGCAATTTTCACAGCCTGTGTGTTTAATAGGACCCATGTGCAATGGCATTTATGATGTACCAAATAAATAAGCTCACAAAAATGCACCACACTATAAATAAAACAATCATAGAAAACACAGTGCCAACTTCTCCCCTAGTAATCTTAAATTCAGATAAATCTGTGTTTTTCATTATGGCAAACCCTTTGTCTCTTTTTTTTTTTTAAACAATGGGACTTTTTTTTAAGATTTTTTTTATTTATTTGACAGAGAGAGAGCACATGAGCAAGCAGGGGGAGCGGCTGGCAGAGGGAGAGAGAAGCAGACTCCCCACTGAGGAGAGAGCCCAATGCGGGGCTCAATCCCAGGACCCTGAGATCATGACCTGAGCCAAAAGCAGACGCTTAACTGACTGAGCCACCCAGGCACCCCTAATTTTTTCTTTTTTTACCATGAGCATGTATTCTCTATTACCATTCTCCTTCCACCCCACTCCCACCAAATCTGTACCTATAAGGATACTTTTATCTTTTAGGGAACCATCCAGGTTTTTAAAAGTTGACAAGAACCCTACCTCTTCAGCAGGAACGGGTCAGAAAAAAAGCATTTTGAATTAATTTCAGATGGTTTAAGGACCTAAATGGGAAAAGCAAAAGTCTTAAATGATTAGAAGCCCCTTTAGGAGACTCTGACATCCAGACATAAACAAGAACCAAAATACAAAACATACAGAAAAATATTCATAAATTCAACTACATTAACATATAAAGCTTCTAAATGACAACAGTTACCATTTTAAAAAGTTAAGAAAAAAGCTACAGACTGAGAGATGATATTTCGGAATGTAAAATCAGCAGTTCCTTTCAAGGCCATTGATCTGCATCTCATAAATCTGGAAATACATATCTCCTCTAACCTAGCAATCCTACTGTAAACTGTATACGTAGGGCAGTAATTCTCAAGGTTGAGCTTGCATCAGAATCACGGGGGGAGCTTGTGATACGGTTTGTGGGGCCCCACCCTCAGTTTCTGATTGAGTAAGCCTGGACGAAGGTCCCAGAATTTGCATATCTAACAGGTTCCAGATGATTCTGCTGCAGCAGCTAATGAATCAGGCACTACGTTTGGAGAATCTCGGCCCCAAAGAAACCTCCCAAGGGGCCACAGACAAAAAATGTTCACCATAGTATTGTTTACAGTCCCGAGAAACTGGAAGCCAACAATAAGGAAATGGAGGAATAAATGTATATCAAGCAATGCAGTTAAATGAATGAACGACCTGTATCAATATGACTAATTCTCAAATCATAATGGTGAGTGAAAAAACAAGTTGTAAAAGAATATACTGAAGATGCTGATAAGGTAAATCTTAAACAACAGTCTATTGCTCATGTCTCCATTCACACGTACCAAAAGGACAAAAGCATGGATAGGAAGGATACATATTAGCGAGGGGTGAAGGGAATTAAGATTGGGAAGGGTTCCGAAAGGAGCTTCATTTTATCTGTGATCTCTTGTTTCTTTAAAACTGACCTGGAGCTCAGCCCTTTCCAGTTCCCTACTTCTCACCGCAGCAGAGGGCGCTGAGAGCGGACACCTTGTCCGGAAGAGGACCGCAAAGTATGGTTCAGTGGGAGCATCCCTTCCTGTCCAGCAAAAGGAGGCAGGATTGAGAACCATCTATTTCACTAGTTTTCTGTTTTCCTGGTTTTCCAAACAAACTTGGACATTAATACCTGCCTATATGGACTATATATATAGGAAAATATATATATAAAGGGAGGGAGGGAAGGAAAAAAGGAGGGAGAATCACACCAGCACTTGTTAGAAGGATAATGTCTCTCTTTAGAGAATGGATATATTTTATCATCCTGGTGTGTGAGGGGCACAATGGGATCCACAAAATCAATAGTAACACCAGCTTATATTTCCACAGTACCTTCCCCTTTGCAAGCTGTTTCACTGGGACTAGAAAACAGACAGTTATACGGAGGAAGAGAAATTCAAGGTACCTTGATATGACGACCGTAGGTTTGGGCTCTGACCCCCGCCCCAAATTTCCTTCTTCCTTTGGATGTGAAGGAGTTCAGAGCATGTTACCCCAAAATATGTTGCTTGGCATATAGGCTATTTTGAGTTAAAGGTACTTGGAAAACAGCAAATACAAGAAACAGACTCTGACCTTCCTTCTTGTCCTTAAAAGCAGGGGATGAAATTCCTGAGGGACAGATGTCCTCCCCATGCAAAAAGGAAAGTAACATTCTTATCATCAAAGACGAGAAGTTGAGACCGAGAGAGTTCTACACAAGCAGACCTTGTTAAAACCATTCTCTTCCTTCAGCTTCCCCACATAGTCTAGTCACTTTTGCCTGTCTTTGTTCAACCTTATTCAAAAGCAAGTAGGGTTTGCCATTTTTTGAATCTTCATTCATTATAAGGGCTCACATGTCATGTAAAACTTACTGTAAATTATTTGTATGCTTTTCTCCTGTTAATCTCTTATGTCAGTGTAATTCTTAGGCCCAGTTAAAAAACCCTAAGAGGGCAGAGGGAAGAATGCGCCTCTCCTACAAATGTGTAGAATGCATCTGACAACCTATGACCTTCCTCTGAGCTCGGTTCCCCAGAAACCTCAAAACTATTACCTCTTCGAAGAAACCTTTCTGACTATTCATTTGAAAATAGCATCTTCAGTCTCTCTCCAACTCCTTTCCCTGCTTTACGTTGGTTGAGAGCACTCATCACTACCTGACATGATCTTACACGTTAACTTACTGTCTTCTGCACTCTCTAGTATATAAGCTTCAGAATGCAGAGAGCCGTCTAGTAGCGAGCATTACCAGTACATCCAGGGCCTAGGATGACGCATGACCACTAGCAGGGGCCCAGTAAATATTTGTGGGACATGTGAATGAATGAATCTACCTTTCTTAGGGTCTCTGTTCATCTTTCTTCCTATTAAGATTCCCTCCACTAAATCTAGATACCCTCCAGAGGCTGGTGCCCTGCCAATGTACCAAGACATTTCAATCTTTTGCTTTTTTTTTTTTGGCTTTTTTTTTTTATTCTTATGTTAATCCCCATACATTACATCATTAGTTTTAGATGAAGTGTTCCATGATTCATTGTTTGTGCACAACACCCTCAATCTTTTGCTTTTAATTCAACCTCACATGTCCACTGTAGGAAAGGCTGTCCCAGAATCCCACGCTCTCGGCTACCTAACAAACACCATTTTATTTTCTCCAAAAGAAAAAACTCAGAACTGGGTCCTCTTCACATCCCATCTGCCACCAACTCTTACCACTTTCCCCCCTATAACTGTTTCAGCCTTTTGTCACTACAGTTTACCAGTATTAATATAACTCAGAAAAACATAAATTAAATTTAAATGGAGCATGGCCATTGACAAAGTATTTTAACATTAATCTTACTTAACCCTGAAAACCTTATAAAACTGGGTATTTACCTTAGGGAAGTGAAGCTTGTGTTCATAAAAACCTCTATGTTCCGAAAACCGGAAATGCTCATGGCAGTTTTATCTGTAAGAGTCAAAGACTAGAAACAACTCAACTCTCCCCCAATATGTGACTGGAAATGCTGTGGTACAACCACGTAATGGAACACTACTCATTAATAAAAAGGCACAGACTATTAACATGTGCAACAACCTGGATGGGTCTCAAGAACATTATACTGAGTGAAAAAGCCAATCTCAAAAGTTTACATATTGTATAATTCTACTTATATAACTCGCAAAATAACAAAGGTATAGTGATGGAGAACAGATCAGTCATTGCCAGGGGTTGGTGATAGGGAGGGTGAAAAGGAGTTTCTCGTGGCAGTGGTTACACAAATCTATATATTTGACAAAACTTCACAGAACTATGTAGCAAACCACCACGCCCCCCCCCCGCCCCCAGCAAAAATCAGTATACACAAGAACTGCAAAATCCGTAATTATTGTATTGTACCAAGGTCAATTTGCTGGTGTTTTGATCATGCTATCATTGGAGGAAGCAGAGTAACAGATACACAGGAACTCTATACTGGTTTTGCAACTTTTGAGAGTACAAGATCCTTTTGAAATAAAAAGCGTAAAATGACTGCTTTTAATTAGAAGGGCTATCAAGTAAAACATTTACTTTCGGAAGATCCTCGTTTGCAAGCATGAGGACCATATTTAATAGTCTGTAGATCTACACATCCTGAGTCATTCCAAAAACTGAGTAAAACAATGACACTCTAAACTGGTTACCTGATCATCGTGGCTGAGAAGAAGCAAATTTAATTTTACTAACCTGGAACTATCGTTGCCAGTTGGGTTTCCAGAATAACCCTCCACCGCGATGGTTTGTTTTTACTCTCGGGAGGGCTGGCTCACCATCTGCTGCTCAGGAATCACCAAGCCTGTGATGTGAGTAGAGGGGAGTGGGCTTAACTGAATGCTCTTAAATAAAACCCTGTTCTGTACAAAATTCTAATGTAACTGTAATCTGTATTACTTCACCTGGAAAGCCAATTTTGACTAAAGATGCACTGTAGAGATAATTTTGTAAGTAGACACCTGATCTCTAAAAAAATACATCTATCCGAGCTGCGGCAGTCATTTCATCCTCCAAACAGCCGCAACAGGAGGTGAAATTATTATTATTATTATTATTATTATTATTATTATTATTATTATTTTGGAAAGATTTTATTTGTCAGAGAGAGAGTGCGCACACAAGCAGGGAGAGCTGCAGGCAGAGGGAGAAGCAGGCTCCCCACTGAGCAAGCGGCCCGATGTGGGACTCGATCCCAGGACCCCGGGATCATGCCCTGAGCCGAAGGCAGATGCTTAACCCACTGAGCCACCCAGGCGCCCCTTATTATTGCTTTTTATAGATGAAGCTTTTGAGACTCAGAGAGGTTAAATACCGTGATCTGAGTCACACAAGGTAGTAACTGGCAAAACTGGGAACCCCAACTGGTCTATTTCCTAGGTCTGTGCTTCTGCCCCGATTAACGATGCCTTCGTTGTAACTCCTCACCTCTCATCTCCCTCCCTGCCAGTCCATGTATTAGCTCTCCTGCCGCTGCCAGAACAGATCACCACAAATTCAGTGGCTTAAACGATACCAGTGTATGGTCTAAAAGTTCTGGAAGCCAGAAGTCCAAAATGAGTCTCACTGGGCTAAAATCCAGGTGTTGGCAGGGCTGCGTTCCTCTGGAGGCTCTAGAGGAGAATGCATTTCCTCGCCTCTTTCCAGCTTCTAGAGGAAGCCTGTATTCCTTGGCTTGTGGTCTCACCCCCACCATCTTCAGCAACATCAGGCTGAGTCCCTTTCAGATCGCCACCTCACTGCTTCTCTCTCTTCTGCCTCCCTCTTCCATTTATAAGGAACTCTATGATTCTGTTAAGTCCCCCTAGATAACCTCCCTGTCTCAAGGTCATTTGATTAGCGAACTTCATCCCACCCACAACCTTAATTCCCTTTTACCACGTAACCTCACATTATCACAGGATGTGGGGATGAGGGCATGAACATCCTGGGGGAGGCGAGGGCACTGTCCTGCCTGCCATAGCCCTAATGCTATAAGCCACAATCACAGAGTTCCACTTTTTTTTTTTTATTCAGATGACCTTTTCCTTTCCCATCAATTCTACATTTTTTCATTCATATGTTGATAGTCCTGCCTTGTTCTTAACAGTTTGGTTGGCTTAGGCATATGTATTACAGTATAGACAATTAGTTTTTAAAAAATCAGAGCTAGTCTCAGACAAGCTCCAGCCCTGTGCTGTCTATACGATAGGCACTATCACATGTGATTACACACATTTAAATTAAAATTAAATAAAATTTACAATTCAGTTATTCAGTTGGACTAGCCACATTTCAAGTGCTTAAAGGTCAGGTGACTCATGGCTACTGTACTGGAGAGTGAGCATCTAGAACATTCCCATCATTGCAGAAAATTCTACTGCACAGTGCTGCCTGAGATTCAACTTGTAGCCTTCCTTGGTCTGGCACTTTGAGGACTATTTCCTGGCAGGTGTCCTCACTCTGATGCCTTTTCTCTCTGAGATTTCCCTGTAACTTTGTCTTAGACTATCAACAGAAAGTCTGTTAGCACCTGGAGGTGGGAGAGCTCTGGGATCATTTCCAGGTAAATGAATGGCTGACTTTTCATCTTCTTTAACAGTATTTTTCAGAGAGAGGTCCTAGGATGATTGCTATTATAATCAACTGGGGTAGTTATTTAAATCTGAGATTCTTGGACCACACGGTAGACCTTCTGAATCTGCATTTTGAATGAACCTTCTCAATCATTGTTATGGAATGTTCAAGTTCGAGAACCTCTGCTGAGAGGAACAACCAATATTAGTATCCAGTTACCAAGAACCTTATAGTTGGATGTTAATTGGCATAGAAATGGAGAGCAGTGCCAAGTTTAGGTACCAAAGGAGATATTTTTGGAGAAGGATTATTTTTGTTGCTGTTCAAATTATACAGTAGAAGGTTATCCACACATAGGCTGATTGCAGACCCACTGATGATCATGATTCCATGTGATAAAGCTCGCTTACTTAGTAAGACAATTTTTAAAAAAAATTTGCCCTTGACATGAGGTATTTTGTTAATATTTTAGAACCAGGTTGTTTTAATGATTTTATTTTATTATTATTTTTATTGAGGTATAGTTGACAAAACTGTAAGATATTTAAAGTGTACAGTGTAAAGAACAAATACTGTTAAAATGTCTGTGCTACTTAAAGCAATCTACAGATTTAATGCAATCCCTATCAAAATACCAACAGCATTTTTCACAGAACAAGAACAATCTGAAAATGTGTATGGAATCACAAAAGACCCTGAACAGCCAAAGCAATATTAAAAAAGAAAAACAAAACTGGAAGTATTACAATTCCAGACTTTAAGTTATATTACAAAGCTAGTAATCAAAATAGTATGTTACTGGCACAAAAACAGACACATAGATCAACAGAGAATAGAAAGTCCAGAAAGAAACCAACAATTATATGGTCAATTAGTCTTTGACAAAGGAGGCAAGAATAGGCAATGGGAAAAAGACAGTCTCTTCAACAAATTGTGTTGGGAAAACTGGACAGTTTCATGCAAAAGAATGAAACTGAACCACTTTCTTACACCTAAACTTGAACCACTTTCTTATTTTCAAAACAAAAATAAACTCAAAATGGATTAAGGACCTAAGTGTGAGACCAGAAACCATCAAAATCCTAGAAAAGAGCACAGGCAGTAATTTCTCTGACATCAGCCATAGCAAAATCGTTCTAGATATGTCTCCTGAGGCAAGGGAAACAAAAGCAAAAATCAACTATTGGGACTACACTGAACTAAAAAACTTCTACACAGTGAAGAAAACAATCAACAAAACTAAAAGACAACCTACGGAATGGGAGAAGACATTGGCAAATGACATATCTGATAAAGGGTTATAACCAAAATATAAAAAACTGATACAGCTTAAACACCAAAAGAACAAATAATCCACTTTAAAAATGGGCAGAAGATGTGAACAGACATTTCTCCAAAGGAGACACACAGATGCCACAGACATGTGAAAAGATGCTCATCACTCATCATCAGGGAAATGCAAATCAAAACTACAATGAGATATCACCTCATACCTGTCAGAATGGCTAAAATCAAAAACACAAGAAACAGTAAGTGTTGGCAAGGATGTGGAGAAAAAGGAATTCTCGTGCACTGTTAGTGGGAATGCAAACTGGTGCAGCCATGGAAAACAGTATGGAGTTTCCTCAAAAAGCTAAACTAGAACTACCCTACAATCCAGTAATCACACTACTGTGTATTTATCCAAAAAATACAAAAACACTAATTCAAAGGGATACATGCACCCCCATGTTTATTGCAGCATCATTTACAATAGCCAAATTATGGAAGCAGCCCAAGTGTCCATCAATAGATGAATGGATTAAGAAGATGTGGTACACACACACACACACACAGGAATATTATTCAGCCACAAAAAAAGGAATGAAATCTTGCCATTTGCAACAACATGGATGGATCTAGAGAGTATACTGCTAAGCAAAATAAGCCTGTCAGAGAAAGACAATACCAAATGATTTCATTCATGTGTGAAATTTAAGAAACAAATGAGCAAAGGAATAAAAGAGAGAGAGAGAAACTAAAAAACAGACTTTTGACTACAGAGAACGATCGGATGGTTACCAGAGGGGAGGTGGGTGGGGGGATGGGTGAAGAAAGTGAAGGGGATTAAGAGTACACTTACCTTGATGAACACTGAGTAATGTATGGAACTGTTGAATCACTTTATTGTACACCTGAAACTAACATAACACTGTACCCTAACTTCACTGGAATTAAAATTTTAACAAGTATACAACATGATGATTTGATATGTATATGCATTGTAAAAGGGGAAATCAGTTAACTTTTGTAATTTGGTTTTATGTCATTTAAAAATTTCCCTTTGATGGGGCACCTGGGTGGCTCAGTCATTAAACGTCTGCCTTCGGCTCAGGTCATGATCCCAGGTCCTGGGGTTGAGCCCCGCATCGGGCTCCCTGCTGAGCAGGGGGCCTGCTTCTCCCTCTCCCTCTGCCACTCTTCCTGCTTATGCTCTGTCTCTCAAATGAGTAAATAAAATCTTTTAAAAGTTTGCAAGGGTCAAAAAAAGACATTATATATTAATAAATGGTTGAATTATATATTGCTGACATATATAGAACATTCTACTCAACAACAACAGAATACACATTCTTCTCAAGTGCACATGGGACATTTTCTAGGATAAACCATATGTTAGTCCACAGATTAAGTCTCAAAAGATTTTAAAAGATGGATATCATACAAAATGTCTAATGTGATCGCAAGATGAAGTTAGAAATCAGTAACAGAAGGAAAACTGGAATATTAATTTGTAGAAATTAAACAATGCACTTTTAAATAACCAGTGAATCAAAAATGAAATCACAAGGGACGTTTTCTAACTTCTAATTTTCTGATACTTAGAAACTAATGAAAATGAAAGCACAACATACCAAAACTTATGGGACACAGCAAAAGCACTGCTAAGGGGGATATTTATAGCTATAAATGTTTAAAGAACAAGAAAGATCTCAAATCAATAACCTAACTTTACAACTTAAGAAACTAAAAAAAGAAGAAACAATAATCCCAAAACTGGCAGAGGAAGAAAAAAATACAGACCAGAAATAAATGTAAGAAAGGGCAGAACAACAATGAAGCAAATCAATAAAACCAAAAGTTGGTTTTTTGAAAATATCAACAAAATTGACAAACTTTTAGCTAGATTGACTAGGAAAAAAGAGAGAAGACCCAAATAACTAAAAATAAATAAATAAATAAGTAAAAGTGGGAACATTACTACTGAAC